AAAAAAAAAGGGCCAAAAAAAAAAAAAAAGGGCCAAAATAAATTCTACACCCTTTGATGTGTGGTAGTCTGTAGATCAGCAGCAGCAGCTTGTTACTTTCGGGTGTCATCTGTCTGGTCGGTTGTCTACACCCTAAACCCTAAGCGCGGCATCGTCCGCACTTGGAGCCCTCGATGCCAGACCCCTCGATGTCAGGCCGCAATGAGAGTGTCGAGTTCAAGGTGTGCTACTCGACGAAAATCAGCGGCGATGAGGCCAGAACGTTTACCAACAAACTCGAATGTACAGCAACTGCAGCATGGTATCACAAAGCGATAGAGAGTATAGCTAACAAACAAAGCAGGGATAACAGGGATATTAATCTATGAATCGCTCTGGCAGCAAAAGTTCAGTTGGACTCGCGAAGCTGTGATTCTGAAAGACAGGGTCTGACCTTGGCGGATGTTGGCATCTGTTGCCCGAGGGATGAGGGCATTGGGGCTGTTAGCTGTGTAGGTTTCAAGGGATATCTTGGTGGGGCTGTCGTTCCTATCCTATTTAAAGCTACACTTTTGCAAGACCGGGGTTACACGTTTTGGGTAGAGTTCACGGAGCATTTTAAAGGTTGATCCCGCCTTGTCCTCTTCGTACATCATAGTATCTTGACAATGACAGTCTGTCCCCTCAAAAACCGTCCCGGCTTGACTCCACCCATGTTGGAAGCAAAGCGAACACTTACACGCGAAGCCCTAAGATCTTGCACTCTGAACCCGACCGCCTACAGCAGAGTTAGCTGGCACCAGCAGTAGGAGTAGCAGTAGCAATCGTATTCCTGTATTGATGGTAGGTGAGTAGTCGGCTCACAGGCCATGATCATTTTCTTCGTAGTAGTGGGTGTTAGAAACAGGACATACGGGGATTGGGGGGTTACACTATCTGGACGGCAAGCGAATGTTATTTGAGCATGTCAGGCTCCTATGTTAGACCACCCAAGCCCTAAGTTTTCCTCCTCAGCCACTCGACCTCAAATTACGCGCGCCTGAAGAATTAACACATCACAACCTAAAGTTTTAAACGCAAAGGCCGAGCCGCAAGACCTCACCGAAGGCCAGAGCTTCCCCATAAGATGAAAGCAATTCTAGCACGGGGCCCTTTTCCACAGATGGGGTTGAAGCCCGGGCCCCAAGTCTCTAAGCCCTTCGCGCAAGCCAGCTCAAAGCGTCTGAAGTGTAGACCCCAAACCCCACGCCCCTGAACTCCTCTGCCAACCAGGTAGAGATGTAGAGCCCAATAGCACCTGATTAAATCCAATCCTGCAATCATGGGTTATCCTAAACCCCAAAAAGTTGGAAACCGGATTAAGGACAAATAGTGCTGGGATTCCCTATACATTACTCTTAAGGATTGAGGCTATTGGGTTTCCAACTTTGGGGCTTCCACTGTTAACCCGTAAAGTAGCCCATAAAATGCTATCCGAGAAAACCCCTGAGCAGATCAACTCTGGGGCGATGGGTGCGGCCTCTGTTGTGAGCAAGTACATGGCCTGCTGCCTGAAAGACGAATGTCAGATATCCTTATTATGACTCCTCTGTATAATCCATTGAAAAAGGTAGGTCTTTTGGGTCACAGGGTTAGGGTCTTGGGCGGGAGGTATGGAGGTTTGGTGTTTAGGGTAGCGGAGCTTTTGATGTAGAGCTTTAAGGGTTTAGGATTTAGAGTTTGTGGTTTTGGGGTGCTAGCGCTTTGAGTTTGGAATCTGGGGTTTGGGGGTTAAGAGGTGTAGGAGTCTGGAATGTGGGGGCTCCAGGCTTTCATCAGGTTATGTGGTTTAGGGTGTAGAAGTGAATATACAAGCCTAGATAATTACCAATATCATTATTAGTATACCATATCTAACGTCCCACAAAGGTGCGAAGCCGTTGGTTCGATCTGGGCTTTTCAATAAGTGTAGTTTTCGGATTTCGGGGGCCGAGGGGGGTTCTCGGTGTTGCAGTTTGGAGGTTTGGGGGATCTAGACCGCCTTGTGATGAGTGTTCGGTGTGGTTGATCGTCTAGGCTCGGGTTGAGTTCGAGCCACCCCTAATTAGGTCTCGGGTCTGAAGCAACGGCATGCCGCTGCTGAGGTAGATCGCTTTGCCGAGCCACTTCGCATCCAGAAGGCCGTGAATTGTCGTCAGGGTTCGGGGTGCAGTCTAGGATTCCGCCGCAATCACTAACACCCTGAGCTCCCTAAACCTCAAAACTCCACGACCCCAAAAAGAGGAGCCTGGCACCCTTCAGGGCTGCTGCATTATTGGTTAGCACTAAACTGTCAGTTTCCGGGATTCAGGTCTTATGGCACCCGCCTGCATCCACTTAGACCCGTTGCTCACCGACATGCGGCCACGGACGGGGCATGGGAGGAGTGGGAAAGAGAACCATGGATGCGTTTTGGGTTGGGGGTCTAGTGTCCCCAAGCCCGGAACCCTCTGACCTAAGGCCCTAAGCCAGCTCAGGAGGAGGGGCGACTCAGGGCCCCCAGTGGCGGGAGGTTCTGAGTTTGGGTGCTAAGGCATTATAGATGGCTCGGCTTAGGATGTCAGGGTTTGACCATCGAGCTGCAAAACAAACCCTCCTAATCCAATCCGAAGCCCAAGGGCAGAAAGCTCGGAAGGAATTGAGAAGTGGCGAAGAAACACACGGAGCCCGGAAGAAGCGGGTTTCTGGATCTAGAGTCGCTGCCACGACGAATATCCTGCAATACAACTGAAGCTCTTGCCATCTCTTGCAATTGCAAAGCTATCCAGCACCTACGGCCTGCTCCCTAAATCCCGGCTCCAGAGCTCCAACAATGGCAAAATTTGGGCAGTGCCTTGCGCTCGTAGAAAGGGCTTAATCAGTGTTATGGAGCTTTCCTTGCGGCAGCATCTAGGACTTTGAAGAGGATGGCTTCTTTTCTTCTTTTTGTTTGTTGCACAAAGTTGTGTGGCCTGTTTAGGTTTACGGCAAGGGGCGTAGGATGGTCTTGTTGGCCCTTCCAAGTCTTTTGTGATCCTTGCTTCAGCTTCTAGTGGTCTTGCTTACGTCTCATGGCCTGTTGGCAGGATTTGACGCACCTTAGCATCACTGAACCCACGACTTCAAGACCGTATGGCCCGAAGGCTCTTTTATTAGACCACGAAAGCCCCGAGCCGCAAAGCCACAAACCCTACGTCCTCTTGTTATTTTCCCTATCAGGGTTATAAAAAAATACTGCACCCCGAAACCCGGTTCGATTATTCAGGCCCCGGTGGTAGGTGAGCTGTACTTCAGCCCAAGCCATCCACGTCTGTTGAGCCGCGACGGCTGAAGGTGGGCAAGCGGTACTACAGCAACTGCCCACAAGAGCAGAGCTCAGGATTGCATTGTTCTCCAGCTGAGAAGACGCCACCATGCCGCAGTCCCTGAACTCCAAACCCTACAACCATAAAGACCTAAACCCTCAACTCTAAAAGCCCTAAACCCTAAGCTGAAAACTTTGCCTTAAACCCAAAACATCCCGAAACTCTAAGCCCTAAAACCCGAGGCCGGGAAAGGCAGCCACATTCTCATCAGCGGCTCTTGGGTCTGTTCCTCAGAGTCTCAATTCCCGCAGGATCTCGGAATGTGGGCAAAGTAGAAGTTCCTACAAAGGTTCTACCCATGCTCGTTAACGGTCTTATCGTGGTTTCGGGATTTCATGGTTTAGGGGTTTGGTAGTTTGGGGCCTGGTGGCGCTTTTCTGTTCACGTCGAACAAGGCTTTACAGGGGGCGGCGTGGGGTTCAGAGTGTTTCTATGACCAGAGCCTGGGTTTGGCGTTTAGGGTTTGGGGCTTAGGGTTTAGGGTTTAGGGTTTGGGCCCTAAGTTTCGGTATGAAACATGTTAAAGCAACTCGGCTACTGCTACGGCTTTAAGTTTGCACAGGTCGCTGTTGTTCCGAGTGTTTGCGCAATTGTCCTCGTCATTGCTGTTGTGCTGGTAGTCGTGGTCACGATTCTGACGGTGATGCCCCTGCCGCCATTACTCTCAAGCAGAGTGGCAGGATACAGGGTTTTGTAACACCGGCCGAGGCGGTCGAATTGCGACAGCCATGTCGGAGGATGACACAGTCATTGGAGATGACGATTTGTTAGTGTATTCGGCTTGCTGCTGTTGCTTCTCAGGCGTGGTCTCGTCGGGCTCTTGCTGCGGTTGTGCATCAGAGGAGACTTGGGTTCCGTTGACCAGAATGTTCGATTGCCCACAAACAACTAATCAATCAAGCTTCCAGACATACCGGGACATCGTATGAGCTCTGACGAAATGTCAGGAGCTTAGTCGTCGAGAATTTTCCTGTACCTAGTTAAGATGACGTTTCAGCCCTTCTCATGCCAATGTTGCAGGACGCCTGCCTGTGCTGCTCATGCCAGTTTTGTTGCAAGACTGGGAGGACTTGTTTACCGTGCTGCTGTTGTGACATGAACTGCTGCGCGTCCCCTACATGCTACAAATCTCGCAGGCAGTACCTCGTCTGTTTAGCACATGATTTTCTGTCACAGCAAGGCTTGCTGTACCCTGTGACGGCAACATGATTCCAAAAAGAAACAGTGGTCCCCACAGGGAAATACAATGGCCGTGGTTAAGTGACTCCTCATACTGCTAATGTCAGGTGCTGCTGCTTTGTTACGGCGTTCGCGATTCCTTGCGACAAGAAAGTGCCCTGTCTCTGCAATTTGGCGTGCCTGAACCGCTACCCCCAGGCCTTGTGCAAAGGGGGCGATTGAATTCACAAGGGATGGGAGATCTGGGGCCCTCACCTTAGTCTAAACCCTGAACCCATTGATCGCTTTCAACCAGGCCTTGCATGTGTTCGGACTTCGGAAGATTTAGGATGCCCTTTCCCAGTCATGCTCAGTCCTCATTTGTGGTCTTGTGAATGTGATGTTGGCCATGTTCAGTTCAGTTCATGCCGGTAGTTTTGTGAAAAGATGTAGATTATGCACGTGTAAACTGTTGTCCCCTTGTGTAGTGCACCTTGTGTATGGATGCGCCGTCGCCAACCAGTGCTCTAGTAGAAAAGTCCGGGTGCTTTGCGCCATGGTATATTGATTTCTGCTAACACTTAACGGATACATCAGTGCGTGGGATCTGAGTGGTTATACCCAACTATAGGTTATCAGCCGTATAGCGGCCTGGTACAACAACTACTATACTGGTGGACAGTGCATGAGCTCCCCTGAACTGGTTCCAGACGATTCGCCTAGCAGCCTATCGTTTCGTTCTACGTGGACAATGGAGGAAGCTCAGTCACAGATCCAGCTCCCGGGAACGGGTAGCCAGACAGGGGCAGACAGGATAAATATCCCTAGCCTTAACCTGCCAGTAAGTGGTCAGACCCTCAGCGGTGCCGGCCCCAGCCAAGTGTTCGCGCAATACAACGTGTACGCGCCTCAGAATCTGGAAATTCACATGAACCAGGTAAGGCTGGAAGTCCGGGAACTTGAAATGAGGGCAGAAGTTGTTCACAGGCAGTCTCTTGAAACCATACAACATGCTGCCAGATCTAACCTAGCCGATCTCGAGCAACGAGCTGAACTCCTGCACCTTGAAAAGGTTGCCGAGCTAGAGGACCGAGTGGCCCAATGCGAAATGCAATCAGCTCGGAGGGAACAAGC